ATGGGGCCCAGCAATAATGACAAATCTGACTAGAATGCATTAGAACAAATATAAGTATTCATTATATTAGTTTCATAGTTGCTGGTCACAATGTTGATTTATTTGCTCTCAGAGTTGGTGTGCTTTTTCCTAAAGTTGCATTATGTATTACCTTACTTGCAGGAATTCCCATTCCAAATAATCCCTGTTGTACTGTTTATCACCCATGCGGGCAGAGCGAAGGTTATAATTTTGTTGTACTTTTTAACTCCAGCTTATAATATGATGGAATGGCTGGCCATGGAAATAACCTGGTGTTTGTACTCAGCACCACTGTCAGCTCTGGACTTTGGGAGGCATCTGCTGACAACTATTAATAATTATGCCTTTTACCTTTTCTCCTTGGCAAACCAATCCATGGAGGAGACACCTTTTGAAAATTTTGAATTGCTTGTTCAAACCAGTTGCTATTGCTGTGTTTCCTGCACGTGTTCCAGGTCTGGTCTAAGGTCAAACAGCTATTTAAGAATCCTAGCCAGAGACCTGCCCTGGGACTGGATGCTTCCTCAGTGGCAGAATGTGGGGATGTATTGGATTTGCATGGCCAAGCTTTGGTAGCAGGAGGGGTCTGCAGGGATGGCTTTTGTGAGAAGCTGCCAGAAGCTTCCTCCATGTACAGCAGAGCCACTCCCTGGCAGTCCCAAAGCTGGACATGCTGCTGGTCAAGGCAGGGCCAAGTAGAAATGGTAGCACCTCTATGATAACATATTTAAGAAAAACAATCAAAAAAAGAGGTTTTGAGTAGTAATAATTGCAGCCAGAGAAGAGTGGGGTGAGGACATGTGAGAGGAACAGCCCTGCAGACACCAAGGTCAGTGGAGCAGGAAGGGGAGGAGGTGCTCCAGACACCAGAGCTGAGATTCCTCTGCAGCCAATGATGCAGACCATGGTGAGCCAGCTGTGCCCCTGCAGCCCATGGAGATCCACAAGGAGGCAGAGATCCACCTGCAGCCCATGGAGAAGTCCGATGCTGGAGCAGATGGATGCTTGAGAGGAGGCTGTGACTCCAGGGTAGGCCCATGGAGAGAGGAGTCCATGCTGGAGCAGCCTGTCCTGGAAGGACTGCACCCTGCAGAAGAGTGACCCGCACTGCAGCAGTTTTGGGAGGATTGTTGCTCATGAGATGGACTTCTCATGCCGGAGAAGTTCATGGAGAACTGTCTCCCATGGGAGGCACCCCATGGCAGAGCAAAGGAAGGGCTCCTCTTCCCGAACAGTGGGAGAAATGTCAGTGCTGAACTGACCATTCTGCTCATTCCCTGTTTCCTGCACCACTGGGGCAGAAGGTAGAGCTGGGAGGGAGGGAGGGAGGGGTGGAGGAAGGTGTTTTTAAGGTTTTATTTTACCTCTTATTATACTGCTCTGGCTTTATTAGTGATAATTAATATCTATAATTCTGGCCTGTTTTGTCCATGACAGTATTCCATGAGTGATCTCTCCTGTTCTTATCTCAATTCACGAACCCTTTGTTACTGTCCAGTTGTGGAGGTGAGTGAGAGAAAGGCTTTGGTGGGAGCCTGGAATCCATCCAGGCCAACCCACTACAGTGGGACAGCATGGGCAGGTGCCCAGGACAGTGGGCACCTCCAGTGTATTGGAACTTCACCCTTGAACAAGTGGAAAAACTGGTAAAACATCTGGAAAAAGTATGCTGGTACCCTGGCTATTCCAGAGAGACACAGATGATTGCTACATGCTGGGGTCTGGCCCAGGCCTACTGAGTCCTCTTCAACTTTATTCAGTACCCTCAAGGGGAGAAGAAGGTCTCTGGATCTGATGACAAGAGAACAAGCACTGCAGGTACTCCAACCCCAGTGACAGGCACTGGCCCAGAGAACCAACCCACGCTGATCCCGGCTGCCCCTGGACACGAGGAGACATGGATGCAAAAGTCACCTTGTCTAGTAAAGGAGAACAAAGTGAGGTCACCACAAGATCATGAGGAAGAGGCAGAACAAGGTGGGATCTTCCAACACTGGGATACACATCTAGCAAAGGCCACGTGGTTAATCAACACCAGGGGATCTGCCAATCTGGCTGGCCCTACCCAATCAAAACTTCTATCTACTTCCATGTGGAAGGGGATAAAGTTCCTGTAATGCATGTAAAAAATACGCCGGGGAAAGCAATCTGGGTTTCTGCTGCCTCGGGCAAAGGCAAACCCATTTGTGGGATGAAGTCCATCTTATCCCATCCTCATTGTGCACCTGCCAATGAGGAGGTGCACAATTAGCTGGATGGGAGCATGTCCAGGGCAGCTGCCCAGAACTGTCCAAAGGGATATTCTTTACCACAGAACATCATGCCCAGTATATAAACTGGGGGCAGTTGCTGGGAGAGGCTGATCACTGCTCAGTGAGGGGCTGGGCATTGGTCAGAGGGTGGTAATTCATTATGTTGTGCATAACTAGTTTCTCTTGGGTTTTATGCCTCTCTTTGTTGTTACCTTTTTCATTATTATTTTTATTTCAACTATTAAACTGTTCTTATGTCAATCTCCAGGTTTTCCTTATTTTTCCCCCCAGTTCTCCTCCTCTTCCTCAGGGGTGGGGAGACAGTGAGCAAGCAGATACATCGTACTTAGCTGCCAGCTGAGGTTAACCACAACAACTCCATCACTTGAAATATGAGAATAACAAGTAAAACACTAACACGTCTTCCCTTGAAATCTTCATATCATCTTGAATGTCTGTTATTCCTCTGGTGAGCTTCCCCAGTTTTTCACTTTTATTCTTGATACTGTTCATATTAATGATTCAGCTTACACCCACTGGACCTGAGAGGATGCCTTTTTTCCACCCTCCATTATAAATTTTTCAGGTATACAGGTGTCCGGAGTGTTGGATCCCTTCTTGTCTGTTTCCTGGATAAAAAAAATGTAGCCAGAGCTAATTCAGTCTGATTTAGACAGCCTTCCTCTCCTAGAATTCTGGAGTGCCTTTTCTGAATAACTTTTGATATATCAATGTTCTTTAAGCACACAAAATAGAACTGGAGACAGTATTGCTGTCACAGAGGGATATTGTTTTTTCTCTTTTTTTTTCACCCCTCCCTCCCACTTTGAACTCCTGCATTTCATCCTCCCAGTTGTCAGGTAAACAAATACTGTTTTCCTACACACAGAGAACACACATCAACAAAGCATGCCTAAACATATACAGACTCAGTCTTACTCACAATTATGGTTTGTATCCTTTCCCTTATTGTAAACCCTGTTGTTAAAAAAAAAAAAAAAAAAAAAAAAAAAAAAAAAAAAAATTCAGAGGAAACCAAGTATTTTTTGTTTTATTCTTTAATTTGGCTTCACGCTGAAAATTTAATTTACAAGCCATGAGGAAAATGTCCAGTTGGGCAAGAATGAGCCATGATTGTGTAACTGCACTCAACACTTGTAGTGTATCATTTAGGTCCCTTTCAGTAAATCATCATACACCCTCTATAGCACAGTTTAAGCACCTATATCATATGCTCACTTCATCACACCCTATAGTCCATTTTAACCTATCAGACAAGTAACAAGAGAAGAATGCTCGAATTGAGGTATTTCCTTTAAAAATTTACTGATCACTGGCATTCAGAGGTAATGTTAAATCATATAGTTTTAAACATTGAAAAAATGTACAAAAACCAAGTTAATTTTTAAAAAATATTATCCTTAGTCTTCCATGCATGTTAATAAAAAATATAAAAATCAAATTTATAACACTGAAGCTATACCTTTTGTTCTGCAAAAGTATTTCCACAATAGGAGCCACAAGGTATGGTCATCTTTAGTACAATACTTGTTTTTGCTCTTCATTTTATGAAATATAGTCAGTTCAGTGCAAAGGTAATAGTCTATGTACACATATCATTGGAGCCACATGAGGGAAATTTACAGCAGAAAACAGTCATTTAGATCATTACTATCCAGTAGCACTATATATTGTTACAGATTTACACTGCACATCCAAGGGCTCTTACAATAAAATCCTTTTTTCTTTAAACACACCAGCTCTGTTTGAGCAACCTTGAAGTCAGCAACAGAAGCTGTACCACCGATGGAACAACCACGTAATACCTCACAAGTGAGTCCCTATAAAAAAGCTTCCTGCTCTGTCAACACAGGTTTCCAGCTTAAAGCATCCTCTTCATGGCAGTGCCTAACTTGGATTCAGTAGAAGTACAAGAAAATTCCAAAATGTGATCATTTCAGTGTTAACTTTTTCAGTTTTGCATTTAAAGTTTCAACTGTGTTCAAAACTATAGCAATCTTTTTTTTTTTTTCCCAAAATATAAAAATGACAGCCTCAATGCAAGTTCAACAACAGAGATCAAAACTATTTTTTTCTGAGTTATTTCTCAGCTTGCTGATTACTCAATTTTATTTTTCAAAAAAAAGATTAACTGGTATCTGTCATCAAATTAGAAATGTCTCACACACCTGGACAGATGCTGGGGATTACAAAAAGGTTTAGAAAGTGGTCCCATTGAACAGATGTCAAATACTTCCAGCACAACGCTGCAACATTTAAATAGTTTAGTACATAATACAAGGTTAGCTGATGCTTATTCTGGGTCCTCTTCCATGAAACAAATTCTATCACTTCTAAAGAAATTTACTTCTGACTTCTAACATTGCTGATTTACGTGGACTCTTAATACCCTTAGAGCAATATGAAAAAGCAATATAAACTAATCACCAAACACAAACAACTATAGAGACAAGCAGCTGCAATGGGTTTGCTTTTTGTCTAAGTATATACAGTTGCTAAGGAGACATGTTTAACTTAAAGGAATTCTAATTCATATATTTAAAAATACAATTTCATTTTTAGATGTTGACTTTAAAATTGCTTTTGTTGTCTGGAAAATACAGCACTGGCTAACCTAAATGTCCTTTTTGAAATATAAGAAATATTTTGCTTGAAGTTCATTATAAAATAAACCATAGGACAAAAAAAATATATACTTAGGCCATAAAAGATCTTTCAAAGTTTATTTCTTTAGCATTTAAAATACAAAATTGTCTTCATGCTGGATAGTGAATAAAAGACATGTATTTGGGTTTTCCCCATATACATTCATAGAATTAGAAACAACCTATTGTCAGATGAATTTCATTTCCAGTACCATGGTAGGATGAAAAGTGTCTGAGTGTTAGCTTTCTTCAGTATCCACGAGGAGACTTTGTTTGCAATCACATTAATGTATCCTGCATTTGGAGCATGGAAGTGAACAGGCTCACACTGAAAGTGACATATATATATAGCGGGTCAGGAGTCAATCCAATTTAAGGTTTCACTGTAAACTTCTAATACTTCTAAATTTAATTTCTTGTTGCTCACAGGAACCAAGACAATCTCATAAGCTCTTTCAGACGTAGTGTCACCTGGACATACCTGCAATGGTTGAAGTGTATGAAAAGAAAAAGCAGTTCTGTACCTAATGGCAGGCACGAGCTAAAATATACATAGGCTTTTAGTTTTGGGTAGCATTACCAGAACAGGACTCAAATATTCACCTGCTGCTTCTGGCTCAGGGAGAAAAGTCCATGAATGCCACTTCAGCTTAAGGGGCAGCAGGGTCTCCCTCTGGCTGCAACAAACCTACAAAGAACAGACAGCCCAAGCAAGAACTAGGGATACAGTTAACTGAATTCACCAGCCCCAGAGGCAGAAAAAATCCTTCTTTACTGTGGGAAAAGGCCAGCTGCAGAGTGAAGTCTTTGCTGCCATGCTGGGCATGGATGGGATTTTCTACTTGCTGGTCTGGAATTAGAAGTTCAGCCTGATTTTTCTTCAGCTGACTTTGGCTCAGAACTGGCACTCTTAAATAACACCCCAATGACAGTATAAAAATAGAGTCTTACAGAAGTCATGACTTTTTTCTCTTGCTTCTGACATTTTTGGTCAAAGTGAAAAAACTGAAATGTAACACTCTACCAACAGATTATCATACAGCACCTTTTTTGAGATCCCCAAGCTATTTCAAGTGAGCTCTGATGTTCATATGGCTCTGTCCAACTTAGCTCAGAATAAAGCATGATAACCGTGTTCATAAAAAAGTACCCCAAAGAGCTAAGTGACATAACAGGAATAACTTAGTGAGGTGCAGTCAGTGCTACGGTGATTCTACTGTTTCTGTTCCCAGACACTGATCATTTTAAAACTGCCAATACATCTATATCCCAAAGTTGGCCTGCACAGGAGTACTCTGCTCTGCCACCCTGCTAAGGAAAGTGGAATAAACAGCCACTGTCACCACACTACCAGTAAAATGACTTTGCATTATGAACTCACAAGACAATCTAGGTAATTTCAAGTACCGTGCAGAAATGTGTCAGTGTATCTCACAGAATCATAAACCATCTATTTTATAAGCCTCTTATATCCTCTGCTCTCTTGGTATCACCGATTTCAGTTTAATCACATTACACATGATAAAGCACATCACATCATCTGGGGAAAAAGAAGCTGCTTTTTACAAAACAAATCACTTTTCCACTTGAAGAAGTCAAAGTAGTTTAGGATCTTGAAAGAAACCTGAAATGTTTCCCAGAGAAAGAAACTGTCTCAACTTGAGCACTACGAGATGCACAAAATACTCAGAGACCCAAGTCCAAACACATCTAAAGGACTCTCTGTTTGCTGCTGTATTCTCTCAGTAGTTTTAACTCAGTATTATAATTTATACATAGTTTGATCACAAGGTGTTGGTGATCAGCATTGTATATCCAGTTCACCACCATAACTATTCCACAGAACTATCACCTTTCTATCTCTGATGTGATGCTGGAGGGTTTTTACCTGTAAGAAGATGCTACAGGGTTCCTGTCATGGTTTAAATACTTTTCTCCATAATTCAAAGGAAAAAGGCAGGGTGAGAAGTCAAAATCCCAGTGTCTACACTCTAGTGACCAAGACATTACTGGGATGTTGCAGCACCTTCAAGAAATCAACCTCTGAGTAAAGACCACATGGCTTAAATTCTACCTAGTCAGGATAGCAAAATTACCTGAATGACCACATCAGCCTTCCTGCTCATATGTGAAACAGATCTTGCAGTTTTGCAGGACTGATCAATTAATAATTTAATTTATTAGTAACTAATTATCAATGGCACCGATGACAACTCTTACTTCCATTTTATATTCTTCCCTTTTTTATTTTGTAGTGATTTATTCAGAATAATTTGTTCATTTAAGTCTTCCTAATCAGCTGAAGTTCAGATACCTGAAAAGTAGCAAACTATTTGAAGTGCCTGGTTCACAGGGAACTTCTGTGCCTCAATACGGCTTTGAATTTGAATTTTGCTAATGTAGAACTCTTGGCCAGTGTATTTGTCATTTCCTATTTCTAGAACACACGTGAAATCTCTGCTAGAGAAAAAACCAGAGGGTTCACATTAAGTGAAATGCAACATTTCTCTGACCTAAAGAAAAATTGAACTTAATTGGTCAGAACTTTTAATCAGAATTTTGTTTTCTTTCCAGCCTAGTTTAGTCCCATAACATATGCAAAGTTTTGCTTACAGGTTTTTTCTGAGATCACAGGATCTACAGCATGTGCTACTAGAGTACTGCAACTAGTATTTTTTAAAGTCAGGGCAGATCAGGGAACTCATAAATATGTAAAACCTGCTTTATGAATTTATCAGATGTTGGAGTGCAACAATGACTTCTACAGGAAAATGTTTACTGCATTTTGTGAATACAAAAATACTAAAAATGCCTAAACTAGCTAAAAAAGTTATTCAGCTTGCATGAAGATATTAAAAAAGAGCTCTGTGTGACAATTAGCTGTTTACTTCTGGCAGCTGGGTTACTAAAGAGGTTGCATCACTTCCCTTCTGCACATGTGTCCTTTTCAAACCCTGTGACCTAAGGATTTATACCTTGAAAATGGGATTAGCAACATGTCTTGTTGCTATTTATCACACCTAGATCATTCTAGCTACAATAAATGCATCTAAAACATATAGTGCAATTAATTAATATAAAACTAAGTGTACAGCCTAGTTTCTCCATCAGGCTTATACATTTCCTATGAAGCATTTTAAATTTATCTGTTACAGCAACAGAGTCCCCAAAAAATCTGCAATAACAATTGAGACAGTGGTTTAAACATGATTTGCACCTACCAAGCATTTGTTTAGTTTTAGTGGGGCTTCATTATGTTTGAAAAAATATAAATTAAACAACAAAAAAACCCGAACCCCCCAAAACTTCAGATATTTTGGATTTTGTGGTTTTCTAGGTAACTTTACATACTTCAGGCATATGAGAAGAGATACGCAGCACAACCAGTGCTGGTTATCTCATACAATATGTAAAAATTCAGGTTAATACAAGACCTCTACTGGCAAGGGATGGCAGTGTTACCTAAGAGTACAAAAATGTTCATCAGAAATGTCAAATGCCTTCACATCCCTGCATTTTTTGTGTAAGGATCATTTACGTTAGATAGTTGCTAAGTCTGCTTATGTTGCTTAGTAAATTTAGGGGGTGTTGATACCACTTGTTAAAATATACCAATCTGCCTATAAAATCAGTAATATTTTAATGGAAAGCATTTACATATCAATGTTTGTTGATAGGGAAAGGAAGTTTTCACTTCTACTTAGACTTTGCATCAGGTTACTGAAACTTGATTGTCACAATCCAGCTGCTCCACAGTCAGATGCCTCTAAGAAGGCTTCTCATCAGGAACTACTGAAACACTTCTGCAGCGGGGGTTTGATGGATGAGTTGTAAGGAGTATGGCTGCAGTCATGTGATGTGCTACAGGCCTGTGCCCTCAAGAGCCTTAGTTCACCACCCTGTGGTAACCTGGCTTCTCTCTCACTACAAGGCAGTCTAATAGTATATATTACAAATTCTAAAATTAATGGAATTATATTATTCTCAACTTTTGTGACATGATGTATGATCTAACAATGCTTCCATGCAAGCTGATCCTTCATCCTAACATTCCTCTTATTATGTCTTTATCTATTCAGTAATTTCTCAGAAGAGGGAGAACCACATTTCCTTCCAGAATCTGTTGTTTTGTCTTATGGCATTTTTTAATGAGTTAATTCACCAATTTTTAAATGAGTTTTAACCCACCAAGAGTGCTTGCTTGTGACCTGTGCTGGCCACCAGCCTTTTCCAGCAGCAGCTCTGGACTGAGCTCACTGGTGCACAGGACTTTCAGTGCCTCTTCACCACACAATGTGGTGCCTGCTTAAGGGCCCATCCACTACAGGCTGCAGAGCCCTTCAATGCAGTCCATACAGCTTAGCTGTAACCAAGTACAGCTATTACACTCATCACAATTACAAAACGCCTCACAAATAAAAATAAAAAGTCAATGAACCTATGGGCTTTCATAAAACAGGCCCTCAAGTTACTCACATGTCACATGCAAATTAGACACACTTGATTTAGCCAACTTCAATCAGCTTTTTTTGCTCTTTCACAGATATGGTCAATGTATCTCTTCTTTGGAGCTTGCTTCTCTCACTTCAGAGCTGTCCACGGGATCATGAGCTTACCTCTTTCTTCTTTCCAGACACATGCTGGGGAACTCTTTCTCATTCCCTGCATTCTGAAATTCTCATATTCCCAAGCTCATATATAAAGCAAAAGATAAGTATCTTAGCCAGCTTGAGCCACATGCCATAGTCTTGTAGATATACAACATGTCCAGACTACACCTGCCTTCCCTTACTGTGTAATTAGAGAAAACAGACCTTAGGGACATCTCCCTGTAACCCTGGGGCATGATCAGCAAAATCAAGTGTCTCTATTGGAGCTGTCTGTATTCTCTGTTTCCAAAAACTCCAGTGAAGGAAGGCAGACCATTCACCCTACCTGAAATAACCCTTCTCCTTAGCTTAATAAGGCATATTGTAAGAGACTTCCCCTAATGCTTAACTTGCCTTTTCAATTAATAGCTAGCATCTACCATCCTCGTGGAGAAGAGTGTTGTTATTTCCTCTATAGCAACTTTTTCCATATTTAAAGACTGTTCACATCTTCCTTCAGTCTCCTCTTCTTTGGATTAAAGGATACTTTTGATTTCTTTTTGAGTACTTTCTGTCCTCCAGACTTTATTCAGTTACACCCCACCTCTCTCAGGAGCCCCAATACGAGCAGGTACCTTGGGTAAGACCTTACCACATCTTGGTAATGAAGAAATACCACCCTGCTTCTCACAGGCCACATGCTGATGCACCCCTCTATCACGAGCATCTTTTCTGCAGCAAAGAGTTAACAGTGCTCAGTTTGACATATTCTGTGCCATCCTTCCTGCCTCAAGATATAGCACAGTAATACTCACTCCCTCCTCTATGCAGCTGACTATTCCTACTTAAATGTAGTTTCTCATATGTCTTATTTTTTCAATCAATTTCTCCTATTTTTCATTATCAGTTTTAATTCAAATATTGCCAGCCAGTCTGCTGCTGCCCTGTAAGCTTGGCTTTTGTTACCTAGATAAATCAAAAATTAAACTATTACCACCACATAAAGCATATTTTCTTACATTTTTTTCCTCCTACCCTCTTTATTAAAGCCAGTTCCAGTTTGGAGACCTGCCACATAGAGTTTGGGATTTCTAAGGACATGTTCCAATACCCTAATGAGCTTTAAAACACCTCCTGCTATTTAAAAATAGTTATAAAAGCATTTGGTACAAACAGACATCCTTTGCTAAAATTCTTCCCTTTCAAATCTAGTTTTAAATTCCTTTGTGGAAAACTCTAATCTCAATAGTTTTCCATGCACAAAACCCTACAAAACTAGTCAGAAATGACTTAAAAGATTTTATTGTTTGGAAGCAGAGTTGCCATCAGCTATTTTGTGACAGAGTCCTCTCTCCTACCCCTTGAGGCTTTTATCCCATTTACTAATCAATGAAGCTCTGTAGTTTTATAATAATCTAGATTTTTCTCTGAGACCTCCAGCAGCAGTTAAGGCATCTGGCTTTACAAAAGGAAACATGTATTATTAATACAAGTGTGGTGGTTTTTTAAACAGTTCTAAACTATTTTAAGCTTCATATATGTTCTATGAAGTATATGTAATGTTGCTATAGAGATTTAACTAGCACTTCTTCAGGATGTTCTGCAACTTGTTGCTGGCTTGGCCTCTGAAGTGACTGCAACCTTTTCCAACTTGTGCTGATACACCAAACTTTTCATGATATATTCCATGCTATGTTATCTGTACAGGCTTGCTACAAAAGAAACCTGTGATTCCTGATAAATCTAAATCAAATATAGCTCTGTACACATCTCCCATAAAATGTTGTGTGGACATGATTTGAATTGGTTATGAGAGAAAAGCACAAACAGTTCAGTTATGTATTTTCAAACAGTATGTGGATGTCAGTTTGGAAAGAATTAATGTTTAATTGCATCCGGAAAATTACAGTAGAAAAGTGTTGGGGTGAGGGATAAGGAGTCTTTCCTTTTCATTCTACCATGGAAAGAGAAACAATTTTGTCATTCAGCAATAAAAAAAAAATCCTTAGCAAGTTTTTTATTACTGTTTCCAAACTGTTCACTGAAACCAAAACAAAGGGCCAAAGTATGCTTGCCTTGCTCAAGAGAATAATTCCCACCAAAATCAACAAGACTGACTATTCAGATATGGACAGCAAAGTTTGGCCCCAAATAAACATCCCCATAACTAGGGAAAACACTAATCACCAAAGTGCACTTTACACCATAGTAGCTACAGTTTCTTTATACATGCACAGTTTGTGCGACACTTGGTACATGGAACTAGCCAATGGAATATAAATAAGTTGTGCCGCTTCCTCTTAAATATGAACATTAATAATGAAGCACATTCACATTTTTTGCCTTTCAAAGACTTTTTAAAAAAAATAAAAACACCTTTCCCAAAGTAACCTGGAACATGTTGTTAAACATAGCACATAGGATTCAAAGGATGGTATTCAGGTAGAACTTTCACACACAAAACTGGTATTCGCTGTATAATTGGAATGACTTATGAAAATCCCAAGAAAATGCAACCCTCTCACCAGGAGAGGAAGGTAAGAGTTGTAGTATTAGTTCAGTTTCTTCTGCAACGGCTTCCTTCTATCTGCACTATTGTCAGGGCTGAAGTCAGTACAGATACCATTAGGAGCAGAAAGAGATGAAGTCTCCAAGCCGCTCTCAGCTCCCATCTGATCAGTATAGAGATACTCTTCTGCAAAGTGTGGGTGCAACACAGCAAATGTGTAGAAGTCATCTAAGAAAAAAAAAGTTGTTGCAGAGAATCAGCTCTTTGAAACAGAAGGATGCTAAATTTGAATACTTACACATATATAATCACATGATTTCTTTGGAGAAAAATAGCAGCAGTTAACATAATGCTATCCCCAGTGCTTGTTTTAGCTTTCAGCCTAAGTTTACCACATCTGCTGATGTGCAGAGCTGAGATGCTGCAAAGAGTTATCTAAGCCCTCTGAAAACACTTCCAGCCAGAGCTTAGCTGTATGAAGGGGTAAACAGGCTCAGATTTGCATTAAAATGCATGATGAGCACCACATGCCCTGACATAGCATTTCACTATTCACTGTGGAAGTACAGAAGCCCTCCAGCTGAAGATCACTGAACATCAAGAGGAGTAATTTCTTAAATTCTTAAAACTCTTTTGCAAACATGCCTCTTAATGCTTTGCACTCATAGTTTGCTTCAACCTAACAGCAGCTGTCATTGCTGCCTTCTGCTTTCAAGATTTCAGCATTTTAGAAGTCCCAATATTTTAGAGAATAATATTGAGGAGATAAATTCTAACACAGAAAAGAACTCCTGATTTTAATGTTGGATAATAATATGGTAATAAGAAAAGCCAGACTAGCTCTTGGAGGAGTGGGGAATCCTTACCATCAAGAATTTAACATCCTTAACAATCTATGTTGAAAATCAGAAACTGAAACTTTGTCTCAATTTGCCCATAAGACTTTATTCAAACATGATCTGAACACAAGATACTGCACAGGAACCAAGCAACAAGAAGCTATTCTTACAATGTAAACTGACACTAGGAAAATCTGGATGTGAATGTTTTCACTAATTCAGTCACCTACACTGTATCACACACCTCCCACTCAAATTCACTGTGCTATCCCAGAAGAGCTCATGATCAGATGATGATGTGAATTCCCTGGAGTGCAGAGCAGATGACACCTGAAGAAGCCTTTCAAAGGAGTGAAGCCCACTTCCTCTTACAGCTGGGCTGGTTATGGAAGAAGGGAAACACTGCAGCTTTCCCTCTCTGGCACTCTTTGAGATTACATGATTTTTCAACACTGCAAAGGGCAAGGGAGCAAGGGAATGCCATATGGCTCACAGGGCCACTGAAGTTGTAGGGCAACCCTGCCTCTGAACTGTTGCAAAGGGATAGGCGACGAGAAGGCAATAAAGACAACTTTATCCTTCCACTCACGAAAAAGGGGGTATCCTTTATCCACAGTCTGTGGATCTAGAGCATTCTGAACCTGTAACTTCAACAAAAGTTGACGAAGTTTAAGTCATGAAAGCCAACATTACCATCTATGTTGAAAAACTCTATGGACAACAGGCTGATGGATCATATAAATCATAAAGTCTTCATGAGGAAAGGGCAATCCAAATTGAACAGAGTAAAATTTTGGATAGATCTCAGTAAGCTGGCATTTTGGGTCCTGCTGAACTAAGTACTGAAAGCATTAAAGAATACTTACTGAAGTTGTACTCAGCAGAGTTCAATCAGAAGTGCTTGGAATCCCATTTGCCTTATTTATCAGAACTGTGAAACAAGGTCATGTAGAAAGAACCAACTATTCCTGCATCTAATCACAGGTCTCATCTTGGAGTTCAAATTGAAAGCAACTGTGAAGCATTAGACTGAAGGAAAAGATCACCTCAGTCATTAACTTGGGGAAAAAAGGTGATTTTGCTTCCCACCTCCATTAAAAACAAAGAGACAAAGAAAGAACCCAAAGTAGAGTTAAGGTTCATGTCTATATCTTTGCATTAAGTATGCATATGTACTACAAGAACTTCAAGAGGTTTTTCTCCTACCCTCGAAACACCCTCCTACTACTTGATACTTCTCCTGGAGGCTCTGTGTTCATTAATCTCTAGTTTTTGTTTCCACTAAGCTAAATAATATAATCCTCTGGTTAATATATAATTATTGTAAGCAAATAATTCTTCCTTCCCTGATTCTTCATCCATAGAGATACTCCAAATATGGCCAATTCCTCCTTTTTTTTCTGGCTACAGCAAGCCAGGCAGTCTTCAGAACACTGTCATAGTCTGAATTGTCTATCAAGAGATGGTGGAGTTTCCTAGAATTTGACATGTCCTCCTAGAGAATCTATTAAAACTCTCTAGAATCATGTCTTAAGACTGATAAATCTTGCCTCTGTCTACATTAGACTAAAAGGAAAAGCTTTGCAATCAAAGTGCATCTGAACAACTAAGCCAACTACACACTGTGTAAGAAAACTGATACACAAATCTTTGGCAAACACAGAGCTTTCAACCATGCAACAAAAATTCAGATTTCCAACAATTCAGATTCACAATCTTGATTTTGCTCTTGATTATCCTGTTTGCTTGCAACCTAAGCTTTTCCTTTGAGATGAGATCTGTGGCTCAAGGACTCTGCCGTGCATGCAGCAATTTAGGTTTGATACTTTAGGTATTTTATCTTTTGTTCTCACAAGCAAAGCTCAACTTAATATTCCTGCTTTAAATTCCAACACCCTAGAAAGGAGATTGTCAGTAGACCTCTGCTGTGTGTATCCAAAGTAAGATTAGTTCCACCAGATACAATGCTTTGATTTCTCAGAACTTGTCTGGACAGTATCTTCTGAACTGTGTGGTCTGCAAGTTTTTTCACCTCTCCTTTCTATTAAGTAAGTGCAACAAATTGAGCATGTGTAACGTTCCACATATTCTCAAGAAAGGCAAGAGGATTAATATTTATGGCAGGAACTTTCAAGACAGAAATGCAATACCAGAAGTTTATTTACAACTTCTTATTCTGTTATCTACTAACTTGGATATTTACTCCCACTATTAAACTTCCAAATATGTTAAAATGACATGTTTCTATTATAAAATGAGCACTTCTCTCAGAAAAACCGCTAAGGAAAGTTTCAAAGAAATTATCTAAACACCATCTTCCTACCTACTTTGTGTCCATCACAAAAGACAATTCTTGACTACAGTATATAAAATTGTGAAAATGAGGGCCAAGCACATCAGTGGCCACTGCTGTGGCTTGGTGGTCCAGATTTTCTTGTGATGGGAACATATGATGACTACTTAGGGAAAAAGTGCAGATTAAATGCACCAATTATAGATGAATATTAAAATATGAATTCTTTGGTAACTCACATGACCTGGTCTGAGTTCACTTGTACATGACTACAAATTTAGCTATTCTCAAATAATGAAATGTGCCAAAATTAAAATTCTGTTATGCTCACCAGCTTAAGATTTGTGCTGGTATTTTGGAAGCTGGTGACTGGGAGGTGGGGGGAAGAGCTGAGTCACACATTATGAGTTGGAAGACAAGGAGCAACAGTAATAGGCAGGAAAAAGGCAATGGGCAGGATGGATGTGGAAATGCTGAGAATGTGACAGAGGCACAGAAAGCAAAGGGGTAGTACAGCAGGAATCGAGGAGAGAAGACAGTAGTCAGGCAAAAAGGAAAGGACAGTGGCAATAATACTGATTTTGTTACCCTAAAATATTTGTGTATTTGAATCTTTACATACATACAGTATGCTTGAAAGAGAGAAAATACTAATGTAGAAACTATGATTTACTAACACTAATGTAGTATTTTGTAAGATTTTTATAATTAAATACATACTGAAGGAAAACAATTACAACAGGGTATGTCATAAGCACCTCTACTGGAGATACTTAATGTTGGCTATCAATAACTCAGCTCATACTCAAACTATACAACTAAATTTAGAACCTTACTGCATAAAACATAAATAATCTGAAGTAACATATAAGTACTCTGACTCCCAGCACAATCTATTCACCCAGGTCTCAATTTTTCAAATTCAACTTTTTCGCCTCCATTCCACCTACACTGCAGGCTACAGAATATGCAGCCTGGTTAACCCCCTCACTTCCTGCTCTCAGACACAAGACACAAAACAAGACAGAGCTAAGGCAGGTTTCTTTAATAATACACATTCACATACATGGAAGTCATAGAACAGAATACACTGAAGGAGCTAATCCTCATATTATGTGACTTGATGAGGAAGGGAAAGGGAAAACTGAAAACATGCAAACATGGCATTTGATACCAAAGCTGAAGCTTGTTTCTTTAAATGTAAATTTACTTTGTTTGCAGCGCTGTTATCAGTACTGAAGTCACCAAGCCAACTAAAAAAGGTAGAGTTTAATAAAAATTTAACTGCTTTGTTTGTCAACATGAGTGCTGGCAACTTTGACATTTTGTGACAGTTCATATGCAGTTAAGAATACTTACCATATGTAATCTTTCCTTTTTCCTCTTCATCTACAGCTCTAAAAAGATGTGTAACATCAATTTGTGACACACCCATGGCAGTCTTCAGAATATTACCTAAATCCTCTTCTGTTACAGTTCCACCTTCTGACTGGTACAGCTATGAATCAAGACAGCAAGATAAATCATTGCAAAGCTGAATGCCAACTCCTATAAACAGCACTACACTGAAGTAAAGCAAAACAGAAAGTTGGTATTAGAAATTCTAGACACTCTCAGACTGATGTAATATATTAAGGATTTCAGATTAGTCTGGGTAAAAAATATCATCATCAGTTCACCTGTGTATGCTTAGAAAGTAAAGCTTGCTATACTCAGAAAAATGTCCTAACCACTGGAATCACTGTGATATTCAGCAACAAGACTGTCAAATACTAACATGTTTTGCAAACATATAACTGAGAACAATATTTAGTCCATTGAGCTAGGGTGTCTGAGCTCCAACATAGTCTGTAATATCCAGAAATATATTTAGGTCAGCCTAAATCAGATACCATTTCCACTTGGCCAGGTGTAGAACTCAAGATTCCTTTGACCAAAAGCCAAAAGCTTGCATTAAATGTCTATATTTAAATGGTATTAATCAGGAGAATCCTATCCCATACACATGGGGCATATACGTATAGACATATAATTTTCTATAAGTATTTATTCTAGAAAACAATCAATTGCATACTCTTACATCCTAAAGAATTAACTCAGAAAGAGTTAGCTTTATTACTGACAGATTGATAAATATCAAAAATTGCTCATAGACTAATTTCTGCATATGTACAGTGTTTTACCCTGAGAAATGGACCTGAATACTTCAAAACATCTCTACCAAATACAGCTTCACTAAGCTCCATTAAAATAACTCAATTTTCCTATACAATGTAAAGTGAGAGGAAAGAGGCTTTGAAATATTTCTGTTTCCTTTCCAAGCATGACAACACTGAAAACATCAAACCACGTAAACAGTGCAATTGTGGAAACTTCCTCTTGATTTCTCTACGTCATTGAGAAGGTGGGAACTAATGAGATTGAACAAAACAGGCATAAATACGTATTTTTCACACAAGCATAAGCAGTTGCCATGAGACAGCACACCTTAGTGGAATAAAAATATTGAAGTTGCATGGAAGTAAACATATGCTCAACTCAGGAATCTTGCCTTTTGAGCCCTGGCACCTAACCTGCACACTGTTTCACAGGAATAGGGCAAAGACCAAAACATTTCTTTAATAAAACCTGCTACATTTTCACAGCACAAGTAGTCAGGTAATATTGGGTGATCAGTATAAACACAATATTGACAAGATTTACAACAGCCTTTAGTTTCTTTAGCAGTTTGGAAGGGAAGGTGTAGCACTTACACCAGAGTGCTGCTCTTTGTCCAAACCACCTGCCAAGGCAGTGTCACCTAGAGCAGGATGCACTGGAGTGCATCCAAGTGTGTTTGGAATGTCTCCAGAAAGGGAGATTCCACAACCTCCCTGGGAAGTCTGTTTCAGTGCTCTGCCACCCTCAACATAAATAAGTTCTTCACCTTGAGGTGGAACTTCTTGTGATTTAGTTTATGGCCACTGCTCCTCATTCTGTCATTGAGCACCACTGAAAAGAATTTGGCACCATTGTCCTGACACCCACCTCTGAGGTATGTACATGCATTCATGAGATCCCCTCTCAGTCTTGTCCAAAGAAAACATCCCCAGCTCCCTCAGCCTCTCCTCATGAGAGAGATGCTCCGGACCCCAAATCATCTCTGTGTCCCTCACTGGACCCTCCCCATTACCCCTTTATCTTGTGCTGTGGAGCCCAGAACTGGACACAGCACTCCAGATGTGCCTCACTAGGGCCAAGTAGAGGGGCAGGATCACCTCTCTTGACCTGCTGGCCACACTCTTCCCAAAGCACCCCTGGATCCCACTGGCACTCCTGGCCACAAGGGCACTGCTGGCCCATGGTCAGCTTGTCATCCAGCAAGAGTCCCACGTCCTTCTCTGCAGAGCTGCTCTCCAGTGTGTCCCCAGCCTGTGCTGGGACGTGGGGTTTTTCCTCACCAGGTGCAGAACACTGCACTGGCCCTTGCTGAACCTCATCACGTTTCTCCCCATCAAACTCTCCAGCCTATGGAGGTCTCACTGAATGGCAGCACAGCCTTTACATGGATCTCCCACTCCCCCCAGTTTTTTAACAACTCCATATAATGATACTATTTTCAAGTTCTTCAGTCATGTACTAAACACTTTAACTTTGAGATCTTGTAGCTAGTGAAATGTTGTGCTTTTCCTGAAAGAAGTAGCACAGGGCAGAGGACAGCATCTGTTCAAAGTCATACACTCATTAACTAGTGAGGTCCTTCAATGGCTCCAGGTAAACTGTGTGAATATCTTATTGTAGGTGAAGTCAGGGCAGGAGGTAGGAAATTATTAAAAAGGTTCTCTTTCCTTATTTTTTAATCCCCAGAATAAGCAAAATTTCCTAAGTTTGAGACTTTTCTCAACCCTTCCAATCATCACTAGCAGGATAAAATGAGCCATACCAGCTTCCCCTTGCTGAGTACTTCCCCTTAATAAATGCATAAAGCTTCTTTGCAGTTTTACAGCTAACTTTATATTTTGTAGTTAAAGTGACTCAAAATTATGTATTATAAGTCTGGGAGTGAAGCACAGATGAAGAACAGAAACTTAAACAGTTTAATTAACTTCACGTGCTTCCAGAAAGAAAATAACCATCCGACCTGAGCTTTTCTTCCTCTCAAATGACAAAATTAACTTGCACATTATCAAGCATGACAGCTAAATTAAAAAAATTAAAATATTAAAGTTATTAAAATTAAAAAACATATTTCCCCAAAGTCCCCTTTACATTTACTTCAAATTTGTTCACTTCAGTATGAAGACAGAGCTGACCAAACAGCACCTATTTTTCTATGCTGTTGTATAGCTGAAATGGACTGAGTCAGGACAGAGACCTTTCTTTCTGCTTTTCCCTCACAAGCAGCAATAAATAAAGCAGCTACTAATGGCAGATTTTCCATATTTGTAGGAAATAAATATTTTTGCTCCTACCTCCTTTGCCAAATTTATTGGATTCTGACTGAAGGGTAAGAATGATACATGTGAACACAAAGCACTCACAGGAGCCTAATTCCTTCAGCAACACGTATTTAAAGTCGTCATGCTGAAGAACCTGAATACAACTACACAGAAAATAAGGCTGCAATGTAGCACCATGCAATTGAATGCTCTGAGCTCCATGTATTCACTACTGAAGACAGCATCAAGACTTAGCACATCTCAGTTTCAGTAACACTGAAGACCATGTGGAATTCAAGGCAAAGGGAAAAGATGATGCAGGATGCAACAGAGTTAGCATGTAGAAACAGTAATATGAAATAAATTAACTGAAAAGTAATAAATCAAGGTGCCAGAAACCCACTGGTTAAGCATTGCTGCTGTCACCTTCCCAGAAAGCTTGTATTAACAATCTATGGTGATGCTACAACAAAACACTGAGGCTAGAGCAAGATCAGGAGCACTTTCTGGGAAGCATCAAGTCTGGACAAAGACTGCAGGACCACCTCACATACATGGTTAAGACTAAGAGGGAAGAAAATTTTAACAATAAGAAAAAAGGAGATAACAAAATCTCTATTAACATGTAGGAAATGAAAAATTATTAACTTGAAAAATTAGATTTGATTGAAACATTTTAAGAGTAGTAAGTACAACTCAGAATGTTTGTTTAGAGGAATCAGTACAAAGGACTTGAGGTCTGAAACTCTTATTTGCTAAAAAGGATTCTACCAGAGTTCTACAGAAAACAATTTCAAATGGCAAGCTTCCATAATTTTACACAACTTACACTTGCAATGCATTCCCCGTTAACATGAACTCTTAATCTAACTTTCCATTAATATTGTTTTAAAATGTAATCAAGTATTAAAAGGAAATGTGGAAACTTCTGTTGAGTCTAATGCCAGTATTAGTAACTTCTAAAATTATGTAAACTACATAGAGCAAGAAAATACAACTTACCTGAAATGCCAGCTGAATTGTTTCCAGAGTTTTGGATGGCTTACAGACAACTGACAGAGCAATGATAAATTCCCGAATGTCAATTACACCATCTTCATTCTGTGAATGAAAACCTCCCATTAAAATAGTGCAATTTGTCTGAGAATTTTCATAAATAACTAACTGTTGCTAAAAATGCAGAATATTCAGAAAGATTGTTACATGTGCCATGATAAAAAAACAGTCTCACTGAAATGAAATCACATGAGGACAAGAACCTGGGTGAAAGCTCTGTAGATTCTTTTCATAGTATCAGTCAAAAGTCACAGTTTAAATAGTCTTGGAAGACAGTGCTGCTACTGTCACCCTTTACTCGCATATTTAAGATTTTTCCATTAAACCATCTGAATCACTGGGCTGAAATTAAAACCAGAGAACCAGAGGACAATGCACCCTAATTTAAGCGCTGAATACATGACATCTGCTCCAAGAGAGAACACTGTGGACATATCCACCTCCCGGTTCAGACAGAACCTCATCCAGACAAAGATAATAGTCATTTCCCCATTCTGACTGATTGCCAGAAGAATGAAAAACTGGCTCATTTGCCAAGATCCTTCAGGTTTCAGGCTCATAGAAGTACAAGTCATTTATTTACAAGGTGAACAAAATATCAGCTAACAGATATTGCATTAATCTGCAATGAGCAGCAGCAGAGGTTTAGCTTGACCCTACCTTTCTTCCTCCTCATATTTTGCATCTAAAAAAAAAGATAGTTTTTGTCCAGCTGATATTCCTTTTAAGTTCTAGCTGAAGGAATGCTTTATTTAGCTGATGATAGGTGCCCTTACCTCTCTGAAAGAGAAGTGCAGCAAGCAAATTTTATGGGGAACTGCTCAGAAATCAGATCTCAATGAATTCAGTTGAAACAGAAGTAGGCTAAAGTGGAGTTTACCAAAAGCAGTAAAATGTTTAAACTTAATGTTGCTTCTTACCTCATCAAAAAGTGCAAACATACTTTCTAATGTCTGAGAAACAGGAAATTCCAAGTAGGCTGAAAATTCTTTGAGATCAACCTTTTCTTTCTTCATTTCCATGGCACTGGCAGTATATTTATCAAGATCATCTTCAAGTGTTTCTGGCTTCAGCCTATAAAGCATATTATTTTTGCACATTTTAGAAATCAACCTAGTTTTAAAAACAATACTTATTTCAAAACATCAAATGAAAAAATGGATGATTATGGTGTAAAGCATTACAGAGTCTGGTTTCAGAATTATTACACAACTTGATAATCAAATAATGTATTTCTGTAATTTTAAAGCTCCCATTAGTTCTCAAGCTGTGTCAGGAATTACTGCAAGGGCTTAAGAACCCTGGACAAACTGATGTCCTTTAGTCTACCTTGATTACAAGCCATATGTGTAAGCAGTTCAACAGCAAGAAACACAGTCTAGAACTAGCTAATAAATTCCAGCACGGAGAACTAGGTGGAATTTAGGTCACCTGAATGGCTGTATTGTAGGACAGTAACATAAACCAATTACATTTCCAAATTTACTAATGTCACTGAACAGGAAGGACATGATGCATCCTACCTAAAAAAAAACCCCTCAGGCATTATGTAATAGTGATTATACTGTCAATCCTGTTTATCAGTCCTCATTTTTCACATTCAGTCTTGAGTTGGACAGCATTATGAGGTAACCCAAACAAAATTCCACAGATCCTACAGCTACAGAATTTCCTTAGTCCTTCCCCGTTGAAAAACCAGACTTTGATAAATGAACAACTTTATACTTATACAGATATCTACTAGTAGTTGTTGGTTATTTTTTTGCCTAAGCCAAGCTTCCTGTTTTGGCTTTCCCCCCCAGAAAAAGAGCCAACAACAAAACAATCCTAAAAAACCCAAACAAAAAAGTCCTACTGAATAATCTTACTGTGAATAAAATAAATGGTGCTGCTGGTAAGATGCAAAGAAAAGAAGTTTTTCCCCCTAATACAACATCAAGCGGATCTGGATCAGGTCTCCTCTGAACTCATTTAGGGCAACTTGGGCGTCTTTCCACTCTGAAGACAAAAGATGCCACTAAAGTCTCCTACAATGTCCTTCTGCAGTTGCCTGTTCTGCTGCTTGCTGCTGCAGGCAAGGAAAAGCAGTTATTCACACAACTCAGAACCTTACACCAGAACTGTTCCCAGACTGCAGCTGGGACTCCTCAGCAGCTTCCTCTCAGTAACAAGAATGAATAAAATGCTTAATATCAGCATTCTGAGGAGCTTCTGAAAAAAGATAAGAGCATTTCTGCTAGGAAGATGATCTGATACATCAGTTTCAGAACTCAATTGCTTGCTGTAGTGACCCTTCCTAAACATAACAACTTTTAAGTAAAAATATAACTCCCATGTTTTTGTTATGACCTATACTGACTTACCAATATGTACTAAGTAAACCATGGCAGGACCTGTATTTCTGAATTATAACACTTAAACATGCAAGAATTCTCCAGAAACCCATGGCTCCTATAGAGCATTCACAAGTCCTCCATCCTACCTATCTTAAGATTTAGCCCTAGACAATGAAAAAAGTGAGACACTCTTCTGTAAACATTAATTTTCCACGATGAAGTAAAAAAGCAGAAGGAACAATAACAACAACAACAAAAAAAAATATCCATAGAGGATTTGAGATGCACACAGAACTCATCTTCTCGCATGCAGAAATGTCCACTGATAATACATCCCAGACTAGTGGCTGAAATGGATTTCAACTGTAGCACGAGGACAGCTGGCATCTAAATCCTCCCTTGAGATAAGCTCCCACTGATGCAGAATATGTAGTGTAACATTTTTCTTTAAATTTGAGATTTTGTTTGCAATGAATTATCTCAAAATTCACCTTCTAGAACTGAGGAAGCACTCATTTGGTGAGTAGCACTCAAGACTTGCAAGATCTTCTCTTCACCAGTAATTAAGCCTGAACAGCAATAGAAGGTTGAAGGCAAAATCTTGTATGGAAAGTAATAGAGCTCACCAAGAATCTTAAAGGCATCTTGTGGTTTATGTTTTGTAAATATAGAAAGAAGTGTAAGGCAATCTCAAAACCAGTATGTGGATCAGTGAGGCAAACTGCTTCAACTTGAATATGACAGCATTGTACTTCTGGTAATCCAAGGTGGGCTCACTTCCCTCCAGCCCTTCAAAACCAGGAAGTCATTAATATGTTGATGAACATAAGCTGCTAAACTGAAGTCTTCAGATGCCAAGTATAAATTTCCTTATATGTTCTAAACCAATGTTAAAAGGTTTCAAAGTCCCAATTCCTTTACAATTGTTACTTTTATCCCAATGGAGGCCATAAATTATAGAAAGCCCATAGCAAATGTCTTCCCTCATGAAATCATGTTTGTTGACTTAATAGTTTCCATGCAGGATCTTGGGCTTTATGATATATAAAATTATTTGCTGTTGTTTTGCTCCATTTTTCAGGTCAGTGCACACTAAAGAGAATAAGAAGAATTCCTGAGTCCATGAAGATGGAAAGGACATTTTTCAAGATTAGCAGCTCTGAACATTAAGTTCTTCACAGAAGACTTCACAAGGAAAACCAGATCCCTGAAGGTAGAATATTTTACAGCATAATTACCACTATTTTTAACAAGTAATCTAGTTTTAGCTATATTTGACTATTTGAGAATAAGCTTATTTCTTGCATGCTGGGAACCTGCCAAAAACCTTCAGAGAGCTGGAAGAACAGCTGGATCATGTAGCTAGCTACTGGAAACTGCAAGCACAGAGAAACATGCCCTAAGCCAAAAAAGTGCAATACATTCAGTTTTATGTCTGCTGATGTACTTCTGTGCAACTTCTTGCCACCACAGAGCAAGTATACTGAAAAACTGCAAAACTGACCTTCTTGAATACTCTTGGCACACACTGCTGTGATCCACAAAATCAGGGGCTACCATGGTTGGTATCTGCTATCATGTCTGATCCATGATCACCTCCTTTGTGAAGAGCATTGCTTTTATCACAAATGCAGATGGTAAACATCCTCCAGAGGTTTTTTTCCTTGTTACAGATGACCTCTGAGCACTCTGAAGTCACAGCACAGGTAGTTAGCTGTGAGGGTTGTTACTCCAGGGACACAAACTTCTACCTACAGTCTGGATGATTTCAGACACAAATGGAGAGCAGAAGTCTGTATTGTAGTGTGGACAGTAGAGACTGTTGAGCAAGAATAGACAGGCACTAAGCCTGAGGTCCTTGCAGATCTTCTTGGTAGCTTACAGCTGCATTGACTAAAAGGATCCTCATGGTCAACTTGATGAGGTATAACTGGGAATTAGAACAAATTGAAGCTTGAAACAATAGGAGCAAATAAATTGAAACCAGAACACAAGGATCTCCTAGCAGGCAACTACCCTAAAGCAGCTCATAAGAAGTATCTCATAAAAAGACAAAGACTAGACTTAATTAACTGTATTAATGCTTCCTGAAGAAGATATCCAAAGAGGTCTTCAGTAAGGCATAAAATCCAGACAAGATTCAATGATCAGAACATGGCAATAGATCCAGCTGAAGTAAAAACAGAGATTCACTTTAAACACTGTGGCAATTAATTACAGAATAAATCATCAAATGATGCAGAGGATTTACAATGTATGAGAAAAAACATATGAAAGCTATATCATAGACTGCATATAGTTTAGCAATTAGCTTGTTGGTCAGACATAAATTACCAGACTGAAGAGATACGCGACTCCTGGAGGAATAGTGAATGCACAATTTGAGAAGATAAGTCTATGATCAATTGATCTCATTGATAAAGCAGTCATTTTATCAAAGAGTTTGGTACAAGCCAACTGTACAGCTTTGTTAAAAGAGCCTGAGCTCCTCCTTAGATGAAGCACGAGAACTCACTGCTGTGCCTGCATGCATTCTGGACTGGATCCCATCCAGCTGAGCACAGGCTAAGAACATTTTACAGACAACAATAATGAATCCTGTAGACACATAATGTGCACAGAAGTAACTCCTCAGTAGAGCAAACCGAGGTGTAAGTTGATTTAAAAAAAATCTAAACCAAAAAGAACTCTGAATTTGCCTTACTATAGGAATCTTAAAACTGGATGTTACCTTGAAAGTATGTCATTGCTCAAAAACAAGTATTAAGACTGGATGAAAAATCCATTGGATAAAATTTTCTCTTCCAGTTATTTAGGGATGATAGTGGATGATCTTAATGCCTCCCTGACCTCAAAACCTTTGAATAAACAGCAAAATGACTACATTATTTTCAAATGTGCATTAGAGATGAAGTCATATTACAATCTTCATCCAATTGTGCCAGAAAAATACCATCAAAATATCCTTCTTACTGGCACATGCCCAAATTCAGAGAGGATTATATTTCACCAAGGATTAATTGCTCATACCAGAGAGAGAACTTCTGGGCTGCAGTGAATCTCACTCACAAATGCATGTAACTGTTTCAGAGGCCAAAACAAAACCCCAGAAAAGCATCATTTGAAAGAACAGCTTCAGAGCAGACAGAAGCCAGACAATTTAACAAGAGGATTAAACTGAATCCTGGGATTATCAACTGCATAATAAGAGATGTGGGTGGTTGGTTTGTTTTGTTTCACTTGTTTTTCTTCCTTAGTACTGTAAATTTAGAGCCTTTTAAACAAAGTGAGAATCTGTATTTTCCCTTTTAAGTCTCTCCTATCCTAATGGAAGTTTTTCAGATGGAAGCCCTGACAATAGATTAATATATGATTGTCATATGAATTCATGATGTGCACTATCCAACATTCTTTATTCTCCAAATTGAGCTTTTTCTTTTTTATTTTCATTTATGTACACAAGCTGAAGATGAAGGAAAATTAGTGAAAGGAAATAAAATACACAATGGAAACATTAAACTATGTACTTTCAAGTGATGAGACAAGAAAATGAAAAAGGGTGTTTGCATATCAAGAGTTAATAGGATGAGGCTGTACATTTAGTTCATGGTTGCCCAATAAAATCACTGGAGAAGCAGGAGAAAAACTGGAAAACAGCAGGAAGTTCTACCATTTGGTTTATGTAAATTTTTCAGGTTTGCTGAGGCTTTTTTGAAAGGTAAAGCCAGCAGGAAATGGCACTATGGGAAGAAAGAAGAGATGACCTACACTGCATGCTCTGACCTACAGCTGCATTGGAAAGTCCATCTGGCAGTGGCTTGCCCAAAAGATCAACCACCACCTTGTCCTTCATGGGAAAGGGTGGCTCCTCACTATTACAAGGTTAATCCAGTCACAAGATTGCTGTTGGCAGCATTTGTTTTCCCTCCACAGATGTCACAGAAAAAGGCAATTGACTCTCAACTGTATCAAATATTAGGAATCCTACAGTATTGCTGATCCTCTTCAGAAATTGTATTTTAGCTCAGGAATGAATGCTTCAGACTCTGCTCACTTGTCAGATGGAAAATAAGAATTTAACAACCTACTCTACTCATTAGGATTCAGGTGTAAAATTAAAATCGTACTGTAGTTCACCTGCTGCTTGCAAGTGAAGTACAGTACTATTTTAATTTTACACCTGCATTCCCCTGATTGTACAATGACAACATTCCATTTAAACTCATAAATGCAATATTGTTACATGATGGGAAAACTATAGATATATAGATATATCTTTATATAGATCTTTATTATAGATATATAATAAAGATGCGCCTTACATATAAATATTGTATATGCTCACCCAAGGCTTCTCACAAGCTTTGCAAATTCTAAAAGACACGTATCTGAAGGCAGACGAAGCTGTCCCTCAGCCAAAGCCAGCTGACAATCTTCAAACGTGTAGTCCGTCACTGGAACTCCCAATGCCCTTCAATAACCAAAGAAACACTGTAAACAAAACACTAAAAAAACTGAGCAGAATAATTAGTTTTTTCACAGCAAGAAATCCTCTAACAATTTTGCTCTCTATTCTGAAAAACTGTAAGGAAGGGCAAATAAAAGTAAGTTTAAATAGAGAGTACGAAATATGGTATTTGATGTGTTGCACAGCATCTGCTTTGACTGAGTCCATGAAAATATGCAAGAACACAAGGCAAAAATTAGGCAGTGCATAGACTTTCATAGACATAAATTTCATATAAGTGAATAATAACAAGGGTTTCAAAATATTTAATCTAGAACACAAATATATATTTATTAACAACTGTGACCAATGTTTTTATTATTGATTTATTAATGTGTTAGTGCAATCACCTGAGCAGAACCGCTATTACCTTCAGCTAATCTTAGTATTATACAAAAGGCAACATTTCTCTATAAAGCACAGCTAGAACACAACATATAAAAACAGGTAGAGTTAAACTCTAAGCAAATAAGTTATTTTTAAATGTATGACATAAGAAAGGTAGAAAAAAAATACTCCCAAGCCTTTATACACCAAACAATTCAGTACTGGTTTTGGCTTCACTTCTAACTTGATGCTCTGTAGTAACTGCAGCACCAAAACATAATTGATGGAAATCCTGATATTGTAGCTGCCCTGTATTTGCTGTGGCACAGTTGAGAGAAAGACAGTGTGGTGTGAAAGAGATCTTCAAGAATTCAGCATACAAACATAAGATGCAATTAGAAACCCAACATAGCTCCATATAAGCTACTTATCTGCCACATTTCTTATTATACTTGATTTTACTTACCATAGTAAGGAGCATTATCTCCTTCATGCAGCATTTTCTATTTTGATGAAATCCACACAAATTTTTTTTTTTGTTTACTTATCTTCATTCTTTTCATCTATAGTTTGTCTACCTAACTGCTAACCACCTTTTTCGTGTGTGAAGTTAATATACACTAATGGCAAGATTGATGCAAAACCCTGAAGCCTGCCACACTAATTTTGGCATTGATGAAAACTCTGCATTCAATTCTATGCTTTACTAGAAGTAGTTTGATCTGTAATGCCAGTTACCCCTTATAAAAACAATTTCTGTCAAACGGTCTCTTCCTCAGAATCTCATTCCAAGGCCTTTGAATACCAAGGTAAATAACATAAAAGCCAGTTCTCTTGTGTCCATTGATTAACTATTTAACTTCAGGAATTCTGATATATAGGACATGCACTAAACCTTAAAGGTACTGATCAGGGCTTCTCTCTTCTCTTTAAGGCTGACAAAGTCAAACATTTAGGAAGAACACCTCACTAATAAATATTCAAGCTCCAAAGTACCAAATATGGTAAAAAAATAGATAGTATTTATAAGCTATTTATGCACAAAACAAGGAATTAGAAAGTAGTGATCCTGTCTGAATAGCTTCCCCCTTCCTAAGAAGAAGCAACAAAGAGAAAGGAACAAAAGGACAAAGCCAACTAAACCAAATTATTTAGGTACATAGAAAAGTCATCTTACAAGCAGAGTGTTGAAGATTAGATTGACTCATACTGGTGTTCTAAGCAATTAAATACAGTTCCTCTAAAATTTTCTCTGCTTGATCTGTTCTCGATTCATCAATCCATTCCCTTCTATGATTGTCCCAGCAGTATTTGTAAATCAGTAAACCACCTTAATGGAATGGACAAGATTCTTGTGATACCTCACCTCACCCCACAGACTTATGGTAAAATACAGATGAAGAACTCCCCCATGCTGTGGAGATTTAAATCCATTTCCAAGTTCAACCTGACTTAGAGATCAGGTATTGTGAGCTTGTCAAGACTTCTGTTTTGTAGTATTCTATATAGTGTTGTATTATACAAAATTAATTTTCCTCAAAAGAAGAGAAAGGAGTGGATGAAAGAAGCAGAGTCTATCCAGCCAGTTGAGATTCCTATTCCCATCTTTTGTACCGTCTGTGCACTCAATCATCCCTACAGACATCCATCTCAACTGTCTCCAGCAAGGACATGCTACAGACTGTACTACCCAGAGCAGTTCCATAAAAGAATGAAACAAAGATCTAGCCCAGCCAAGCACATTACCCCAAAATTCATGTTCTCCAGGCCATGCTAGGTAGAGCATGTAACAGAAATACAGGAAATTACAGGCGATCAGCTGAAGCACAGGGGAACTACATGCAAAAGGGTAAACACGTTAAAAATAAGTTAGGAAACTGAAAGAGTAAAGTGTTCCTCTGTTAGACATATTAGAGAATCAGGAGAAGTGGTAAGACACTTAAATTCTGAAAGGACAAAAAAAAAAATTAATGTCATTGAAAGTGATTAAAGCTGGCAATTTAAAAAAAGACTTTAAAGAAACAGAAGAAACCCAAGCATTCTCTCAAGGGAAACAGAGAAGATGGACAAGCTAAAACATAACCATAAGGTGGCAAGCCAAAGCAAGAAACAATAGCTTGTAAAAACCAAAAGCAAGATGCTTTTCCAGCACATCAAAAGAAAGATGACTAAGAAAGACCAGGGAACTTAGCCGGGGGGGAGGGTTGAAGCCTGACTGACTGCCAGCCCAGCACCAATGCCAGATTTAAATAACTGCTAAATAATGGTCCCTGAATATGCTGAAAGAGCCTAGCCAAAGAGGAACTTTTAAAAAGCCTAAAATAAACAATCAACAAAAAAATCAAAATCAAACTTAAGCTAGAAAATAAATTCCAAACAAAAGCCAGGGTCATTTCAGACTCAGCCAAACCACAAGGGGAAACACAACCTGCATTTTTTTATAGCTTTGTGCTCCTCTTCTAAAAGAAGTGGTAGTTGGGCCAGAATTATATTGCTGCTATCAGTGAATAAAAACCCTCACTACAATTAATATAGTTATTCAAGGTCAACACAAACACAAAATGGGATTCAGAAAGACAAAAGAAGCTTATCTTGTTCACCTGTTGTAATTTTCAAGCTGCTGGACTTAAAAAACCTAAACAAATGAACTTAAACAGGGTACATATACATCCAGACTTTCAAAATAACAAAGATCGGAAGTGAAGGAGGAAAGAAACACTTTTGCTCAAAGCAAAGTTCATTCATAGAATCAGCCAAGGCCAGATAGAGTTCAAGGGGCTCTTGAGTTCAGAAGACAAATCACAAGCTGTATAGAGATAGCAGCTTAAAGGACCTTGATTTCAGCTCAGAATGTTAAAGAAACTGAAGCTGGGGAACATATAATGTTCACTAGTAATGCTAAGACTTGTGAATTTTTTAATTTCTTAGAATAAAGCCTGACATATTAGAGTTCACTGTAAGGTCTTGGCATAACTGCAGCTCACAAGATTTTCTACAGAACCAGTTACCAGATTATTGTAACTTATCCTCCAGGTCAATCTTTTTTTCTACTTCAACTGGGAAAAAAAACCCTGTGATTTCATTTTGAGATGCAAATCACAAGTACAATCCCACATTTTTAATAAACTAGAAATAAAACAATTTTTCCCATATCTTCATTCAAAAGTATTTCCCCTCTCTTTTCTTTGAACTACCCCTGTTTTCACACTCAGTTAATGTGAGCCTAGCCTTTTAAAAAGTCCAGCAGATTTAAATGGTCTGACATGAATGTCTTGCTTGACATACCTTGAGACTTTTTTCTTCCCTGCCTTCCCCAAGATGCTGGCTGTTTACCCATCATGACATCACATTACATGAAGTTTCAAAGTCAGCAAGTTGCTTGAAAATAATAAACTCAAATGAAATAAAGCCCCAAAAGCTTTTCTGCAAACCCAATCTGATAAATACAACAGTTATACTTGTTATATCCTGATGTCTTATATCAAACAGCTCCCTATGTCTAACATTTGCGCAGTCATAATATAAGATGAATTATTAACTTCCTCATTTTCTGCATACCAATCAACCATCCATGCAAAATGCCAAATATAAAATGGAATGTGACTGCTGGAATATTATGTAAAGTGAGAGAAAATAGTACAGGCAATATTGTGACATTTGGAATCTACATTTCAACAAAAAGATTCTCAAAATGTTTTACATTGTTCATAAGCAGAACTGTGAACTAATCAAGAGAACATTCCACAGGCTGCTCAGAAAAACTCCTTTAAATCAACTATAATCTGTACCTACTGAAAACATTAGGATTCTATCTAATTTGGTATTTTTCTTCATTATCAGATGTTCAGCAAAAAGACATACAAAACACAGTGGACAAATAACTCCAATTACTAGCAGTCATCTAATCTAGTTATCAGTAGTACACAAACTTCCTGAACCAGAGACCTTTTGTACCATGATGTTTTAGAATTACTAATTAACCACATGTTTTTTATAGTATATCTCAGCTCCGATGAAGTAATTTAATCTATCTGGTAGTGAATGCCACAATTTTGCACATTTTAAAGACTTACTCCATTTACTTTTAGCTGATCTACTGTTGAGTGCTTTCAATCTCTCCTGTTATGAAAATTAAGCCTTCATTTAGCATGCTTTTTCAGAACACTGGTGATTTTCCTGACTTTCAAAACAACCCTCCACTCTCTTTTCCCCCATCTTTTCCCAAGCTGAAGTGCTGCCAACTATTTAGTTTTGGAAGGCCAGAGTAGATAGTCCCTTTTCTCTCCTCAGACTACTACTTCGTGACATTCTCCAAGCAAAAGAAGGTCCAGTCATGAGTGTGAAGTTCACATAAGGAATCTATTATCTCATAATGGTTTAATTTTCTTAGACAGAAAGAGAAGCTGCGAACAGCTGTATTTCTGCCTGGTGTTGTTTGAAATTGGGTTCAGTAATTGTTGATCTTTTAGACTTGCACATCATAAATCTTCAAGGGGTAAAAGACAGAGGAGGTTTTCCTTGTGTTGTTAGCATTCAAAAACCAGTTCAAACCAGAGTGTTGCAAAGTATTACTTAACATTTAAAAATTTTATTTCTTCCTTGAGAAAATAAATGTAGCAAGAAGCTGCACAGTTAAC